TAGTTTGAGATCTAGTCCAATTATTGATATAAACAATGAGATCACAAGACATTATGGAGATTAGGCGCGCAGTCCGAAGCCTGTCTTGGAACAACGAATGCAGGCATAGTCTCTATCGCGTGGAGCCGGCTCGCCTGCGGCGAAGAGTAAATTAAACAAGAGTGACTTGTTTAGAAATAATGAAATTGCAAGCAAATCACATTACACATCGAAAAAATTACATTGAGGGTTGCTCGTCCGGCTCGATAATTTTTTGTGTCTTGTATGAGAGATAGGTGTTCCAGAAAAGTGCCACTAGTTGAACGACAATAACACGCATATTCAACGGAACTAGGTAGAAATTTGCGAGTTGAACCGCCGGCCAAACCTGAAAGATAAAAATGAAGGATGACATTACTTCCACCTTAGGTAGTGAGAACCCGAAAAAATACCTTCAAACTGTTCGAGTAGATAGTCCACCAATCTTCCTTCATTTTGTTCCACGATTTCTCAATTCCCAAACCTTCCAGTAATCGCAGATTGAATAAAATCACACCATTAAAGAATGGGGCAAATGCGAACTGAAAACATCTTTTTTCGTCCACGGCTGAAGCCCGAAATAAGTGAGAATGGTTAACAAACCTGGTCTAGTAACATGCGCTTGAGTGGATCAAGCTTGGGATTGCCGTTCACTTTTTCCAGTACTTTGAACCACCTATTTAATGCCGGAGTCTGAATCAAATTTTTTTATCAAAATAGAAAACTTAAAAAAATACCCTATGACAGCAAGAAGACACCAGAAAAGAGTGGTTTGTTCCATAAGACTTACAATGAAAAAGGATCCCTAACACGAAAAATCTGCCAGTTCTGTAAACATCGTACGTCTCCCAAGTTCTCCGTTCTAATGCAAGTTGGCAGCAAGTATCTCCTGCTCCGCAAATTGCTCCTACAAAAAAAATTAAATTTCTAGAAAAAAATCGAAGTTTAGGCTTTGGTCAGTGAACAGTTTTAATGCGTTATGGAGCAGGTTTGGTGAGGTCATTGAACGTCATTGGTCGAACAGACCACTACAAGCTGGAGTTGTGGTTGGGCCAGCAACGCCTTCAAGAGTATTGAGCAAAATCTGCGTGAAACTAACCATGGAAAACTACTCCTTTCAATTTTACGGGCTACGTGATACACGTGTAAACTAGAACCTCGCTTTCGAAATTCCAACTCACTCAGTCAGCGTTGCCGCATTCAAAGCTGTGTATCTTTATGTAAAATGAACTAGCTATGATCTTCAAACTTCCAAAATTCATGGGAGAATCCTAGTTTCGGTACGTAGTGAGGGGGGGGTTCACCGCCTTGCACTTCTGCGTTACTTCGCCTTACTCCCCGTTCGATATACATCCCATGCGGCCATGAAAAGCCCTCAGGACTTGACCTTGGAAACGCGCGCCGCTATGATCCCCTCAACACGCATAGCCCGCTGCTTCTAACATACTCCGCTAGATATCAGCAAAGCATGTTGGAAGCAGTTTATCCGTCCAATATCTATCAAATGCGGCGGCCGACGTCAATCCATGGCCACGCCTAATAGTTCGAGAAATGGACTGTACGTATAGCTTCCTTAAAATCCCCCTTTCCCATCCCTTTCTCTGAAAAACAGGCCAGCTTCTACTTGGGTTGGTGCATAATATCGTAGCGTTTTTTTGGGCGTGTAAATTCAATCAGTACAAGAGAAACCCTAAAAATCGCCTATACCTTTTGAAAGTGCTTTTTTCGCTCTACAAAAATTACTTCGTCATTTCCCTCAAAATTATATTTGTACTCATACATAATGCTTAGAAGTTGGAAAATCCAGACGGCAGAAATCGGCATTTCGACAGCTGTTATTTTTCAGTTCACATAAAGAAAAAAATACCGTCAAAACAAAAAGTTCTTCAGAATCCATTGTTCTTATCGAACCTCTCTCCCACATATTTCACTCAAATTAAGACCGTATTCATGTCGTACAAATTGCGAAATAATGAAGACTTCGAGAGCGAGCCCAACATCTTTTTTTTCAATTCCAAATCCAGTGACTTTCTGCAAAATAGGATAAAAGTCGTAAATAATGGCAAAGTGGACATCCCTGATTAGTTTTATGTTTTTAATTTCTTCACAAAACGTTTGCGTGCAAAAATGAAAAATGCAAGCGCTACGATATTATGCACCAACCCAATACATAGCTGAAGCATTCGCTCTTCTGTCTGGACTCAAACCAACTACTACGGAGAACATCTAACGCCGACAATTAACGAAACGTTTCAGGCGTTCTACGATGTGCCATATATGCGATAGGGTCTAAAAATAAATAACAGTTAAAGCAAAATCATACCTGTGGCTATGACTTGTGTGAGAAGGGGCCTCCTCTCAAGAGATCTTTGGAACAACTTAACATTGCGTTTACTGAAAAAAAAAGCCATCACCACAAGAAAGAGCGTTCGAAATATTAGCGAAATAAAAAAGCACACTCAACAACACCGACTGACAACTTCAACACATTGATGAATGAGGAACAATGACGGTACATGATCCATATCAGGTTTACTAACAGTGAAAGATATGACAAAATATTTGATATTTACCATTTATCGCAAACAATACAAGCGCAAAGAGATCCTTCGCAAAATTTGCCGACCACGGGAAAAGCGTACTTTTCACATATACCAAAGTATTCATAGCCTCTTGGAATTTACAGGAGCTTGTCGGATATCACATCTTCTACAACTTACAACTATATACGAAAAAGCTTTGATTCCAAAATGGTATCTTTTCTAGATAGATTAAATCTGAGTTTAAATAGATTATAGTAGTTTAGTCTCACCACACGCCAAGTTTCAGATGGAATGTACACGGTTCAAGTGCACAATTTGCTACCAACCTCACGCCACATGTCTAAAGCCTATTGAAAATGAAATAAGAATTGAAAAAGAGTCGATATGAGGGTCATATTTAGCTCTGGGAGAAAGGGTGTTAGATGAAACTGTCAGTGTACTCTGGGAGGGCGTAGGAGAATGTAGTACGGTGCATGCACTCGTAGGAAGATGTGCGAGATTTCGAAAATTTTTGGAAATTAAAAATTTTATGAATTTCACGAAAATTTCGAAGGTTTCGCTGCTTTTACTTGGTGGAGAATACAAAAGCAGTATTTCCCCCTCCCCTGATCCCTGATCTCGACGAATTTTCGGTAAAGTCAGGCATGGTTCCGGTTGGGGTGGGAAGGGAATGGGAGCAGAACTTAGAGAGGGGCCCTAAAGGGTGAGGGAGGGAGGGAAGGGGAGGTGGGTCACATTAGCCCTATTTGGGAGGCTGTAGTTGTCGAATCCATTTAGCAGAGATCTGAGGCTGCATAATGGTTCTCCGGATTTTGAAGCCAATTTTTGAACCATTTAGGCTACTAAACGCGAAGGCACCCACGGTTCGGGTTTGCGGTCGAACACACCTCGGAAGGCAAATAGGATTAAACAAAAACGTAAGCGCAGAGCGAGGCGCAACGCAACTTTGTCGAGAAACTGACGGGATCCATCACTCAACTTTTGGATTTTGATGTCCTTCGCCATAGAAGCATATCTCTCGACAACTTTGTGCAGTTATTCCGCTCGAAATGATAGCAGAGGATCGAAAGAACCGCAAGTGGGGAAAGGATGAAAAGAAACCACCAAAAACACTAAGAGGCCTTCTATTACTAGATCATGATATTGAAGAGAGACTGTGCGTGGAGTGAGGAGAGCAGCATCGGAGATAAGGGAGCACTGGAGACAAGGGAGACGCACACACCCTGCCGCATACAGCGTTTCAAGGCGAACAATGCCGTTTGAAAACAAAAGTGAAGGCCTTTGTGCCCATGTCGCGCAGTTTCGAGCTGCGAACAGGGCACATTTCAACTTTTATAGGCAGCTCTATCTTACTCGCGTAAAGGACCAGTTCACCTCAATCATGCGCTGAATGTGCCTCGTAAGCCTCAGAGCTGTACTCTGCACAGACAGGATGAGCATACGGTCGTGTTATCAACCACACTGTGAACAGGATGATGTTTGAAGCTTCCCTATACACGCAAGTGCAGAGGGGAATCCGGAGTGCCGAACTACGCCAACGATCGAAGATCAGGGACGCTGCCGTTTTCGCCAAGGAATCGAAGATAAGGTGGGCCGGACACGTCATGCGATTTTGCGATGACCGTTGGACCAGAGCGGTTACCGACTGGATCCCTCGGGACGTCAAACGAACACCAACGGTCGGTTTAGACAAGACGCTCTCACAAAAAGCTGTGCACGAAAGAAGTGCTTAGCATCCCTCAAGCGAGTACAATGCACTGGAATGTTCTGCCACGCAACAGAGGTGAGTATTGCGGGCGAGAAAAATTCCGATGAGCATGGGGAATGGAGGAGATTGGCAGGAGATTAGCTCTCGAAAGGCTCTTCCCATCCTCACGAATGAGAAAATATGAGTGAAGTATAAACAAGTATGAAGACGATACACGACGAGGAAAAAACGGAGTCGAAGGAAGGGTAGAAACAAATGAAAGAAAAGAATGAGCACCACATAGTTATGTTAATTTTGTTAAGAAAGTCCTTGACTAAAGGGCTAAAGCAACCAATAAGCGAGATTACGCCACAAATAAACCTGGGAAAGCAATGTCGATTTTGCCATTAGTGCGAAATTATTTGTTTTTCCAGAAAGTTTGCGAATATTTCTTGGATATCACACCAGAACTCTCTAAAGCATTTTGAGAGCTGTTTACGTAGGCTATGAAGCTCGTTACTTGAAGTAAATTAGTGCCCAATCCCGCCCACCCAAGTCGTATCTGGGATTGAAACAAAGAAGGAAGAGCGATGTTCGTCACGTTCTTCTTTATGGTCTTCTACTGGGGCAAGGTCTACTGTTATTCTACTGGTACGGTCGAAATCAGAGGTGACGTTTTGCTCTGCGATACACTTCCTTTAGTCGCCTGTCGTGAAGTATCGGATTGGTTCGATCAACTCCCTCAGTGAACTACGGCCTGGGAAACCCCAATTTAGGGGCCTCCAATGTTTGACCAGCTGCACTCTCTCATTAGAGCCAACCGGCTTCAAGAGGGCCATAACACACAAAACAGGGTTCTTCGCTACCACGGACAAATTTTGAAGCCTGACGAAATCATTTTTCATGAAATGGCCAGTAGTGATACAGGAGTACGAAACGAGTGCAGTCTACATCTTCACCAGTCTGTCTGTTCGCACGAACTGACGAAACCAAGGCGAAACAACGGCGATAAGAAAAGACAGCTCAATTCGAAACATACGCAAACAGGCAGATAGCAGGACCGATCAGAAAAAGGTGAAAAATTAACAAATCCAGCAAAGGATTATGTTGCCCGTCGACGGGAACTTGGCAAATCAACCACTGCGTACTTCTCCCCCACTACAGCACTGTAACCAGCTATGTATACAGTAAACAACGGCAGAGACTGGTGAGAAAAACAAATAACTTTTGTCTGCTTCACACAGCACAAAGGCGGATGTATCAAAGATGAAGCACCCGAGATTGTAAAGGTTAGCGGAGAATTCCTTTAGGTGAAGTGCTATCCAGTCCATTCCAAACCGCCATTTATTCTTATTGCTCAACAGCATTTTGCAAAAGCCCAGAAGAACTTCGAAATCTGTATTGCTTCCCTTTTCAGCACTGATGTGATAGTGTATTATCCAAATGAAGATATAAGCACAGACAGATACTTGTATTGATGACGGACATTGTTTGTTTTTGAAATAATGGTGGCTAGAAAAGTCTGAAATTGCCACGAACTTCTGGGACACCCTCTAACCCTCACCCAACTGTATACGAGGTTCACTCTGGAAGCCACGGCACAGAGTAATCTTTGATCTGTGAAGGAAAATGGATAAAAATACTGGTAAGGAAGTAAATCATCGGCACTGACGGAATACTTTTCCAAAGAATTTAGGTTCCTTGAAGAAGAAAACTATTTTGAGACAATGTGGAGCAAGAAATAGAAGTTTTTGTCAATTCACTTTATCTACTTATACTACACTCTGTAAGAACTTTGCACCGAAAGCAAAATGATGTTGGTCGCTATAAAAAAAGGAATATAAACGAGAAGTTGACGTCACCCACCTCTTTTTTAGACGGCAGCCAGCACTATTACGCGAGTAGTGGTCGTGCTCAACTAACGCCGTAAATACCCGCCTCCTTGCATGAGACATTCACGTGAATTCGCAACAACAAGACTCATAGACTTTGATGTATGATCCGCGTCTTTTAGTGATCACCACAGTGAACGCAGTATGCGCTCCTTTATGCCAGATAGTATAAGCTGGATAGCCCGAATCGGAACGAATAAACTAAAGTTAGGGAACGGTAATTAGTTCAGACTCAAGTGTTTTTTCCCACGTCATAGTTTTAGCTCGGGTCTGGCTCCCTAGGCAGGAAGCAAATTTTCCGCTTTTCGCAGCGCGAAACTTTTTTTGCTGCAGAATCTCAAGTCCACCGCTGATCATGGGTGGCCTGGGGTTCCTGCCGCGAAAAAAGTTTCGCGTGCAAAAGCGGAAATTCGCTTTCTGTCCTAGTGAACCACATCCGTTTGCTCAACTTCATGTAACAGCAAAATGG